ACTCGGTGCAAGCCGGGACAGAGCAGCTCCAATTGTACGGCTGCCTGGAGCACTTCCGGGTTCCAGCTGGTGCCGGACTTGTAGGAGTGCTGGAACACTGGATGCTGGACAACTGGAGTTTTACTGTAGTTGATTTGATTACAGGTTGTCTTCACTATAAGTCTAAAGTACATTCCAAAAAACTTGGACTTATAGCGAAATAACTTAGAGGGGAATTTTTTCCTGCAGCTGACTTCCATTTGCTCAATTTTTTGTGTGTGCGCGCGAAGTAAGAGCGGGGAATGGAAGGACTTATCACGCTTCATTTCCTACAAGCATCAACAACTTTAGTGCAGAACAGATGTATACTGGGGCGACTGATAGCAGGGGCGCCTCTTTGATTCCTTTTTTATATCACTATGTAAGACATGGGCAAAAGTTCTGGCCTTACATCCTAGCCCAACTCCCTTACATGCATGCTTCCCAAAAATACAGTTATCACAGATCTTCCACTGCCGTTTAGAACCAGAAGATGTAGGGAGTCTAAACTGTACCTGTAAATTTAAATGGCTTTCATATCAGTAACTGTGATTTTGACACAATTTGTTTAGATGCTGGTCTAAATTAAGGGTTGGATCCTGCTAGCTTTCTATGTAAGGAACTCCAGATGAAATTTTGATTCACAGGAGAATTGAGGCTCTAAATATAATGTTTGGCAGCACTTAAAAATAGTCTTTGATTCTGACTTCAACAAATTCCAACAGATGAAACACTAGCTATAGAAATGTTCCACTTTAAAGCACAGCAATTGTACAGAAATTTGTATATTGAAACAGTCAGTAAACCTTTTTGTTAAAAAGGTAAACTGACAATAACACAAATAACATCATTAATGCCAGATTTTTTTTGTTTATTTTTAGCAAGGAGTAATAGTATGTAGCATACTGAAATAGGGTTATCTCTATTTGTTTACATTGAGGTTGAGGGGATGTATTTCTGGATGAGAACACATCCCTCTCCCAGCTAATATGAATGTAAGTACTCTTTCATCAGACCTGATCTTGACTGAACATTAGTCCAAATCAGATCAAAGATTCTCAGTCTATTCTGGAATCCCCCATTTATATCTTTGTTCCTTTGTGGTATTCCATTTGCTTTTCTTCTGGCTGGGTGGGCAGTGGATCTTAATGGAGGGGTCAGGAAGGGATTATGTGGCTCATTCCCAATTGCTGTAGATGATACAAATCATTTAAAATGTCACCTCTTGTCACAGCTGACTTACGGGTAAATTATACCCTTTTTGTATGCCTTGACCTGGATGGACCATCCGTGATACCTGATCTATGGACAGCTTCTTTCTTGCTTCCAGCTGTTTTTATAGGCTCCCTTGCAAAGAGCTTGGGTGCCTATAAAAGCAGCTGAAAAGAGGAGGAGCCAGTTTACCTAAGAGGAGGAAATCAGAGCCACCAGCAGGACTGGAGCATACACGAGCTACCAATAGGACTGGAACGGCCTGTGGAGGAAAACATAGAAATGGGGAGGGGGGCACATGTTGTGGAGAAACCTGTGGAGTGGAAGCAGTAGGACAGACCTAAACAGAGCAGATTAGGGGAGTGGGATGGATTTTTCCAAGACAGACACATCTGTAAAAGATAAGTATGAAAGATAAGTAAAAATGAGAGAGAACTAGGCAGTATTAGTTTGAAATAACAAACCTATAGGTAGTCTAGAACTTTTAACAAAACAAAGTAAAAAAGAAAAAAATAGGCCACGTCTTAAAAGCATACTAAACAGGCAGAGATTTTGCTTACAAAATAAAACAACTACCCTGGAAAGATGTGGTAACTTTTAAATGATTTGCAGCCATCCGGTTGTGCTCATACCCTTCTGCAGCTTCATGACTTTACATTTGTTACCCTCATTCTCCCTCCCTTCCTTTCTATTGGCCTTTATGTTCCTTTGTTACATTTCATAATTTAGGCTCCATTCCTGCAGTGCACTTAGTGGGACTTGGCAGGGGTCTTCTCTGGTGGGTTGTATTGCAGGATTGAGGTCTCAGATTGAAAGCTCTGCATGGAATAGATTACTTCTGTTTGTGTTTGTCTAGTGCTCAGCATAATAGACCCTTGGTCCTCACTGAAGCCTTTGAGAGCTACTGCAGTTCACATAACAATCATGGAGTGACCATATACTCTCTTAAAGTTGTTTTTCCATTTGAGCTACGGTTGTCATTGCCACAAGAATGCTACATGGTTCTGACTAAGCGGTGAAATGATCTGTGTGCGTGATTGTTCAGGATACTTATGATTTGGAAAGAAGGGGATCCACACTGGGGCGGCGGGGGAGCTGAGACTCTGTTGTTAAACCTAAGTGGATCAGGAATAAAAAGCTGAGTGGCTGCTATACCATCCGCACCCTGTAGGTAGGTGGAGACTGTTAGGATTAATGACAGAATTGTGCATAACTTCCATAATGAAATCTGAAATGGACAAAAGCAGCTTCTCTCCCCCCCCCCCCCCTTTTCAGTGGTAAAACTCCATGGCCAGGCCAAAGTTCACAAACCTTTTGGCAAAACTGGGCCAAGTTTTTGTAAATTGGATTGATTTATGGATGATTTCTGATGGAAACTATGCAAAACTGGATCATTTCAACTCTAAATCAGAGAAAAGTTAATGGGTATTGGCTGCATTGTACACGTTGAACCTCTCGCTACTGTCGGATCTGACCGGTGCCAAACCAGATAATTTGCCGAACCACAAGAGGTCGATGTTGTCTAGTAGCATTACTCACACTTCTGCTTACTGGGCTCTTAGAGGGCATTTAGGGATAAATGAGAGCTAAATAACAGCACAGAAGACTGAAAACCAAGACTGGTAGCTGTAAACAAACTTTATGGGACTGCGGGAAACTTGGCTACACCCATGATAAGTAAACATCTGGCTAACTAAAATAATGCCAGATCATGGATGTTGCTGGACTAGAGAGATTCAGCCTGTAGTGAGTTTGAAATTTGTTTGAAACTGAAATTCAAAAGAAAACTGAGTCCCTAGATCCTTGTCTATCAAATCCAAGAGGCTAGGTTTGCATGGACGCCTGTAAATTCAAGCCACTATGTTCCATACAGCTGAATAATCTGTGTTTTGGTTTTGGTTTGTTTTTCATATTTGCCAGACTACTGTGACATAGAGATTCTATTTGGCCTTTTGATTCATTTTTAGCAAACATCTGGAAATGCAACTGCATTAATGTATAGAGTTCAGTGAATAGCATCCACTCTAATTTCTCCTTTGGGAATAGATAAGGAAATACTGATTCTCCTCTAAATGATGAAATCAGCTAAACTCGTGTTTCCCTTTCAGATGTTGTGCTGGAGAAGGCCATGCACAAGTGTATCCTGAAGCCCTTGAAAGGTCACATTGAAGCAATGCTGAAAGAATTCCATACCGTGGATGGCTCTTGGAAACAGTTAAAAGAAAACCTGCAGCTGGTGCGGCAGAGGAATCCTCAGGAACTGGGTGTATTTGTCCCAACACCAGACTTTGTGGATGTGGAAAAGATTAAAGTCAAGTTCATGACGATGCAGAAAATGTATTCACCTGAAAAGAAAGTCATGCTGTTGCTGAGAGTATGCAAACTGATTTATACTGTCATGGAGAATAACTCAGGTAATACTCTCTTTAGGTTAAAGCTCTCTGCTGTGAAATGGGGCGCGTGTGTGTGTGTGGGGGGGGTGGAGGGGTAGATCCTTTGCCTCCACCCTGACTGGAGTCCCCCTTTCTTCACTTTGCTTCTCATCTGCCTCTGATCCTCAGACTCTGTCACTCAGTTTCTTTCTAGAGTGCTGTGTTGCATCTGACAACAAATCAGCTAAGATGCACAGGTGAATGAACTGCAGGAATAGCTGTTGGAAGAAGAGCTCTGGTTAACTATTTGCATTTGAAGTAGACATTGAGGCTTTGAACAAGGCTTTCCGTAACTGCCTTCAGAGTCTGAATTTGAGGTTCTTAGGCTGTATCTACACTAAAGCCGCAAAGCTTACCTTGTTTACGGGTGTGAATATTCCACTCTCCTGAGCAATGTCAGTTCTATTGACATAAGCACTCATGTGCACGACGCTATGTTGGTGAGAGAACTGCTTCTGCCAGTAGCAGAGGTGGGTTTTTTTTATGCAAATAGGAAAACTCTCTCCCATCAGCATTGAGTGTTTTCACCAGCTACGTGGCCGTGGCACAGCTGCATCTGTACAGCTATGTCGTTGCAGTGCTTTATGTGTAGATATGGCCTCAGTCTGATTGCTCTCTGGAAACCATAGTAGATGCAGTTAAACACATTCTGTATTTCAGTAGTGGAGTCTAGCCAAGTAGATACAGGACAGCAGTCTGAAAAATACTCATTGCTAGAAGGTGGCAAACAAAGACTCTACTTCTGGCTATCAGTGCTTGTGGATGTTCTACTCTGAGCACTATCTTTGTTTTAGATCAAAAATAATATTACCATTTGTACTCTGCCACAAGTATCTAAGATACAACCAGGACCTTGAAAGCTAGATAATGAAATGGAGTAACATTGATAAGAGGCATTTTTAAAAATATTTGTGCAGAGTCACGTGGAGGCTTGTAGCCAAAACACGCTGCTAGACAGTGAGAATGCAGGGGTGTAGCCCTATGTTACCTCAGGCGTTGACCTTATCAGGTGTCGCAAGCAAATCTGAGTGAAGCACGTGTTAGGACAGCGGTTCCCAACAACCCGTCCGCAAACCAGTAGTGGGCCACAAACCCCTGCCTGCTGGGCCACAGCACTCTGCCAGGCCACGCCCTCAGCTGTTAATAAGCCCCACCCACTCGGAAGCCCGTAACCTATAAGGTGCACACTTGGGTGTGCATTGAATTTTTCTCCCATGGTGAGTGGTGCTGAGATGAAAATAAGGTTTACAGGATGTTTCGAAAAAGGGTTTATTTTTCGACAGATCTACGTCTAGAGCTCAGTGAGATCCGGTGCTCTAGGCCTTTAATTTTTTTTTTTTAATTAAAATTGTAAGTTCTGTAGAGCTGATGGGACCACTGGAGAAGTACAAATATCCTTGCACATAACACTAGACAAGAGTGGTGTCGGGCATAACCCACCAGTGGTTGAAACTGAAATCCATGGAGCAAAAATGCAAAAGTACAAAGAATCATTTTTACTATTCTTAATAACTGTGGCACAGCTTGGGAGTCTAATGCTCCTGTAAATGCGGTGTTCTGTGCTGGAATATCTGATTCAAATCTTGAGCTTCCCAGTTGTATCTTCCTAGCAATAGGATTTTATTCTTATGTATAAGAAGGTGTGTAAAAGAGAAAATTGTTGTTTCCTGGTAACCTGCTGGCAGAAATCCATCATCGCAGACTTGTCTGGTAAGCTGAGCCTCCGTGAGTCAGTCAGCCGTGTGCCATCACCAGTGGAGCAACATAGGCCTTGCTCCTCAGTTCTTTGTGCACTCGAAACTCAGGTTTGGGTGTGTCAGCAATGCAAGATCAGACTCACCATTTGTATATGGTTGTAGCCAATTTCCAGAGATTTCCACCTTGCTGCACTGTTTTGTAAAACAGTGTAGTTGTGCAATTTAAGGAAGACAGCCTCAAAATGTATGCTTTGACGAGCTAAAGAAGCAAAAGGACTTGGACGCTGTATGAGTATCTCTATTTCTTTTGCTCCAGGGAGGATGTATGGAGCAGATGACTTCTTGCCAGTGCTGACCTATGTAGTGGCCCAGTGTGACATGCTCGAGCTTGATACTGAAATTGAATACATGATGGAACTCTTGGATCCATCTTTACTACATGGAGAAGGTAAATGGTTGGTTTGTTGTTTTGATTAATACCATGTGGAAGCATGGGGGAGGGGGAAGGCTTCTCTGAAAGCATAATTTGAACAGAAAGTATTTAAAAGCAGCCCCAGAGCCAATGGAGTGCTGCCAGCCAGTTAACAAGAGGTTCCCAAAGCCATGTCCATGTTAGGATGTGATGTAGGCTGAGTCCCAGGGTGCATGTGATTGCAGCATGTAGAGGTGAAGGACTGGAGAATCTGTGTGGGTTCCCATTTCTGTGACCAGGATTTCAGTAGCCTGGGAGGGACATGGCAAACAAGCGTCTATTAAATGCACATGCTGGTTGTGTTTATGCTTCAAGTCCTGAAAAATATTTCTGTGTCTATTTATAGTGCAGCAGCATCATTCATTTGAAATGGGGGATGGAATAAATGCCTGGGAGGTCCCCTCATGGGGAAGTACTTGGCCAGTATTCTCTGCCCCATTCCAAAGGCAAAACATTTGCTTTTGGGGAAGTACTTTTTGAGGCCCAAGAATAATTCATCCATGTCTGGAATGACAGAGAAGGCTAAATACTGTCAGAGGCAGGGCAATCACCCACCTTCTCTAGATTCATGGTGTTATTTAACAAGGCGCTCCTACAAACTGCCCATTACTATCTATAGCTAGGAAGGTGGTTTTAAATTCCTGTGATCAAGGTCACTTTTGACCCAGGGGTGGGTAATAATTTTTTGCCGGGCGGCACTTCAGAAATTTTTTAAGTGGGCCCAGGCCGTACCAGAAGGGGCGGGGCCTCAAGTGGAAGGGCGGGGCCAGGATATTTCCCTGCTTCCCTACCCACAGACCATGATTAGTCTGGGAGTGAGGGGGCACTTTTGGCCCCTCCAGAGGCTCCTCTGTGGTGCCCATGCTCCTAGTGGTGGGAGGAGACTTTGCGTGTTCCCTCTTCAGCCCCCAGGCCAATCAGGATCTGGGGGTAGGGGAGCGTGCAAAGCTTCTTCCTGCCCTGCCAGGAGCGCATGGTGCTTCTAAGTGCTGCACATTCCTCGCAGGGTGGGGGCAGGGCGGAGGAAACGTCGCGCACTCCTCCTCATTCCCAGGCCAATCAAGGTTTGGGGGCAGGGAAACGTGCAAAGTCTCCTTCCGCCCTGCCAGGAGCCATGCGGGCTGGTTCACCCCGCTTGGCGGGCCTGATCCAACCTGCGGAGGCTCTTTTGCCCACCCTTGCTTTTGACTCTAAATTTACGTATTCTTGCTGTCAAGAACATTTGACCCCTACTCTCATTAGACAGAACAAAACAGCTGTATCCCATGGGATGCTGGTATGTTTGATAGGGTTATGTCAGAACTCCTCCCAAGCTACACTTGTGTGTTCCCTGCCTTGGAGTATCAAGCTCCTCCAGCACATTATTTAGAAATTGCATGGTGGAAAACATTTGATGTCGGAAGCTGGCGAGTATGTAACATGTTTGTAAAGCTGAAACATCTGCTGAACTAACAAGAAGGCTTTTTTAGTTTAATAACAGAAATCTGCAGTTCATTGGCTCTTGTCTTTAACACCAGATGCTCTGATAATGTGTAGGAAGAACTGTCTAGTGATTTGGGACTATGCAGTTCAAAAGAAATGTACTGTCCAGTTTGACTGGTGGGATTAGTGGTTATGTCACATGCTTTACCTATAAAGCTTGTTTGGAGACTAAAAGCTAAGAAGACACTAACTACAATCCTGAAACAAAACACAGAACTATGTAGCACTTTAAAGACTAACAAGATGGTTTATAGTTCTGTCTTTTGTTTCAGCTAGACCAGACTAACACGGCTGCATATCTCTATCACTATTCTATAATCCTGAAAGTACTGACACCAGCGTGGTGGTAATCTTTAAATAGCACTGAATGGCTAGAGATCCAGCTCAGTGAAAATCTTGACTGACTTATTTAAAAAAAAAAGGGGGGGGTGCCCTGTGTCCTCCACTTGTGTTTCCATTGGCTTGACTCTGGGACTTGTACTGCTCGGGGGCCGACATTTTCTGCTGTAATTCTGGCCTGGCTTCATTTAGATCCCTAATAAAGACGAAATAGCAGGAAAGGATACCAGAGCTGAACAGAAAGAAGGGGATGCCAAAGGAAACAGAGGGCATGGGAGATTTTTTTTTTTTTTTTTTTTTAAGGAATCTAGGAACAGACTCCTGGCCAACAGACTGGATTGTGTCTCCTTAGCTTCAAATTGTCACAGACTCTCTGGAATCTTTCCTGGGTATAGCAAAATGAATTCTCAATCCTTGCTTGAGACCAATTATAATAATTTGCCATAAGATGCTGTGAAGTGGAAATTTTTGTTTAAAAAACCCCAACCTGTTAATTTTACCTCAATGCAAAGACTCAGATGGGCCAAAAAATCACTATTTGAAAATGAGGTGTTCAAATTAATTAGGGGGAAATAATTCAACTTCAGACAGCATAGTGCAAATGCTCAGAAATAAAGAGCATTGCTTATGGAATTTTTTTTCCAAAAAAGTACATTTTAAATAATTATCCACAGTGTTGCTGCATCTAGTGCTATACACATTATACCACTTCATAACGTGTAATGTTTGTAAAACTGGGAAACGCAGCTCATGGTACAAAGCGGGGGTGGCCAAATTTTACTGATCCTCCATGCCAAATACAAGCATCTTCAGAAGTTTGAGAGTCAAGGCTTCACCTGTCTGGTAGGTGAGAATGGGGAAGCAGAAGATGTGTGGAGCTCCTATAGCTACATTTTTAACTGTAAAAGAGCTGCATACGGCTCAAGCCATGCTTTGGCTGTCCCGGGGACAGAACAATTCTCATCAGCCAACACATGAACCCAGCACGTTACTGTAGACTACGTGGCTGGATGGATAGAAGGATTTCAACAGATTTACAAAATACAAATCCTTCTATCCATGCAGCCACGTAGTCTGCAGTTAGTTAAAGTGCTGTCTGGTTACATTGTTAAGCGTCTTCATATAGGATAACAGCCTACTCTGTGGTTTTTTTTCTTTAGCCAAAAGATGGCTACTTTGGAAATAGTAAAGAATTGTATGGGCATTCTGATTGTAGTCTTCCCCCTGATATATCAGCAGAGCTGACTAATTTCTTGTTCCTGAATATTTTGAAAATCTCTCTTCTCTTGCACCTCAGGGGGCTATTACTTGACAAGCGCATATGGAGCACTTTCTTTGATCAAGAATTTCCAGGAAGAGCAAGCAGCCCGACTGCTGAGTTCGGAAGCCAGAGATACTCTTCGGCAGTGGCATAAGAGGAGGACAACAAACAGAACAATTCCTTCAGTTGATGATTTTCAGGTACTGTATATGGTTTGTGAGAAATAAAGGGCCAGATTCTTCATTGTGGCTATGATCTGTTTGGTGCAACAGCTAGTTTGGCCATGAGGAAAACGGTTATTGCTCCCGGATTCTTGTCCACCTCTGCCTTGGCATGGCACAGTTTAAAGCAGCTTGGAGGTCGCTCTAACCTCCAGCAGCTGGCAGTCACCCTTTAGATTGCCACCTCTGTCATTCTCCACCATATAAGGGAGCAGAATAGGAAGTCTGCAGGCAAGCTCATACTTGGAGAATCCCCAACTAGAGAGACAAGATTCGTTTTCACTCCAGAACCTGACCCAGAATGTCTCTGTTTCTTTGACAGTTCTTGCATCGTACAATAGAGTTGAATTACAGTGGCCTGGAGAAAACATTTACTGAAGAAATTTAATTTTCTCCTCTTATTGTACAAGTATAAAGGCTCAAAAATGTGCTAACCTGATGTACCTTCATTTGGTTTTACTTCTCTGTTTGCTTCCTTGATATACACCAACCAGAGGTGCATACTCCAGCTCATGTAGTTTAGCGTAGCTCTGTTGAAGACAATGTAACCAATCCAATTTACAGAAGCTGAGGATCTGGATCACTGTATATTTGAGAAGCCTAAACAATTAGCTGAATTCTGAACCTTAGCTATTTAGCAGTCTTTCTGCCTTTTCTTGCTACTCTTGAAGTGTAGGGCTTCCTCTAAAAACGTACTGATGTTAACGTTAGCATTGTGTCACTCCTTTAGAGTAGAACTGAGAGTCCTTCACAGAAATTGAGACATACCCAAGCACCGTCTAGACCAGTGGTTCCCAAACTTTTCGGCATCATTCCTCCTTTTTGATTTGTGAGAAACCCTCACTTTCCCCTGCCCCCCAAAATAGCAGCAAAACTTATTGAGCAAAGAGGGGAAAAAAGGGGGGAGGGGGAAGGAACTGACCAGGGCCGAATTACAGTCGTGGTCCCTTTAATTCTCGGGACCAGTGTAAAAAAGAAAAAAAAAAGTGACAGTATTCCAGGGGAAAAGTTGTTGACCAAAAATTAAAAAAGATTGCCCTTTTAAGAGCAGAGCAGTAGGTATTTCCCTTTTAATGTGGCCATTTCGAGGTTTGCCCAGGACACTCCATCCTCCCTCTGCCCCAGCCAGGCAGAGCTGCATGTGTTCCCGCAGACGCCCAAGCCAGAAAAAACCACACATTAGTATTTTCTGAATATTTTTACCAGACAGACTGGGCTCTTTCATGGTTACCTGACAGATTTGCCCCAGATCCCTAAAGGGCCCCTCAGGGATTGAACTCACAACTGTGGGTTTAGCAGGCTAATGCTCAAACTTCTGAGCTACCCCTCCTCCCTTACTTGTTCTACTCTTCCTTTTGGGGCACTGGGCATTGGCCACTGTTGGCAGACAGGATATTGGGCTAGATGGACCTTTTGGTCTGACCCAATATGGCCATTCTTATGACCCAGTATGGCCATTCTTATGTTGAAAAACTGGAGAAATTAAAACTGCTTTACTTTTTCCTATTTATGCTATTTACTTTTTGCATTTACTCAGATTAAATAGAAGCAAAATTACTCTATTTTCATTATCCACAGTCCTGTTCATACTCATCTCATGCGCTATCATAAGGCTGAAAGATTTGGGCTACAAACGCTGCAGGGGCATATTTAATTATTAAGAAAAACTGTTTCCATTGGAATTTTTACAAATTATACAGATGTTACGGTTGTCTTAGCTTTCAATAGCTTGCATTTACAAATATAAATGCACAACTCCCATGCAAGTTGGATTCTTTAATGACTCATTTCATTTAGTTGCACACAAACACGAGTCCCAGCTGCAGTTCTCACTCAGTACTAACCTCCTCTTCTTCCACAATACTATGCTCTTCCCATTTTTCCTTTCTGACTTTTCCTTTCCTTCAATTCCACTCCCAGATGCTTTTTCTATAAAATGTCTCTGTTGCACTTATTTTTTTTCTTGTGTTAAAAATATGGCTGTTATTTCTCAGTTTCTGTATTTTACTTTTCTAATGCTTATTGGAAAACGGAAAGGCAATATTATTTCTTCTTATGTTCTAGTACTTTATTTATCATGTATATGTAGTCACTGGGGGAGAGGGTATCACTTGGCAGAGAGTAATAATATATGGAGATATACCTATCTCATAGAACTGGAAGGGACCTTGAGAGGTCGAGTCCAGTCCTCTGCCCTCATGCGAGAAGGATCTCATTCCTGCCTTGAAATTATATTGACACATACAAATGTTGTACAATAGATTGTCTTCACATACCCTCTTTCTGTGCCTCTTTAGGAAAAGCAAAAATGTTACTTATTTTAATATATGCAGAGAGTTCAGTTTTCATCTTATTAAGTAAATACTGATTCTTTTCTAAAGCTTCTTTTCTGCAATCTAGCACAAAAGCAGCATTTTTGGACAGAGTGCCCAGAGGGTGCCTATTACTTCCTATCCTTCTAAATCACGTGTTCATCAGCAAGGCACCACATGGAATCCCATTAAAGTCAGTGGGGCCCTGCATGGGTGACAGTCTTTCTGGTCAGTCTGATTGCAGAATTAGAGCCTAAAGCATTAAAAGCAAGGTTGAATTAAAGCATTAAAAGCAAGTTTGCGGATGATACTAAGCTAGGGGGAGAGGTAGATACGCTGGAGGGCAGAGATAGGGTCCAGAGTGACTTAGACAAATTGGAGGATTGGGCCGCAAGAAATCTGATGAGGTTCAACAAGGACAAATGTAGAGTCCTGCATTTGGGACGGAAGAATCCCAAGCATAGTTACAAGCTGGGGACCAACCAGTTAAGTAGTAGTTCTGCAGAAAAGGACCTGGGGGTTACAGTGGATGAGAAGCTGGATATGAGTCAACAGTGTGCCCTTGTAGCCAAGAAGGCTAATGGCATATTAGGTTGCATTAAGAGGAGCATTGCCAGCAGATCCAGAGATGTCATTATTCCCCTTTGTTCGGCGTTGGTAAGGCCACATCTGGAGTATTGTGTCCAGTTCTGGGCCCCGCACTACAAAAAAAGATGCGGACGCATTGGAGAGGGTCCAGCGGAGGGCAACCAAAATGATTAGGGGGCTGGAGCTTATGACTTATGAGGAGAGGCTGAGGGAGTTGGGTCTGTTTAGTCTGCAGAAGCGAAGAGTGAGGGGGATTTGATAGCAGCCTTCAACTTCCTGAAGGGAGGTTCCAAAGAGGATGGAGAAAGGCTGTTCACAGTAGTGACAGATGGCAGAACAAGGAGCAATGGTGGGAGAGGTCCAGGTTGGATATTAGGAAAAACTATTTCACTAGGAGGGTGGTGAAGCACTGGAATGGGTTACCTAGGGAAGTAGTGGAGTCTCCATCCCTAGAGGTGTTTATGTCTCGTCTTGACAAAGCTCTGGCCGGGTTGATTTAGATGGGATTGGTCCTGCCTAGAGAAGGGGGCTGGACTTGATGACCTTCTGAGATCTCTTCCAGTTCTATGATTCTATGATAAGGGGATGGGTTGATGAGAGAATATGATCTTGGTAACTAATTGACCATTCATTTTCAGTGGGAAATATGTCAATGGACCATTCATTATCAGTGGGAAATAGGTCAATGGAGGGATGATAGGAGTTGCTATAGGGAACTTTCTGGGTGTCTGGCTGGTGAGTCTTGCCCACATGCTCAGGGTTTAGCTGATCGCCATATTTGGGGTCGGGAAGGAATTTTCCTCCAGGGTAGATTGGCAGAGACCGTGGAGGTTTTTCGCCTTCCTCTGTAGCATGGGGCGCAGATCACAGCTGGAGGACTCTCTGCATCTTGGGACCTTCAAAGTATTTGAAAGCTTCAATATCGGAGATATAGGTGAGAGGATTATTCTAAGAGGGGTGGGTGAGATTCTGTGGCCTGCACTATGCAGGGGGTCAGACTAGATGATCATAATGGTCCCTTTTGACCTTAAAGTCTATGAATGAATCTATGAAAGCTTGTTTATAGTTTTTTACCTGGAGCTGTACATTGCCACTGTCCCGTCCCCTTTTCCACCCCGCCAATGATAAGTTTCTTACAGGAAGCTTGAAAATGTAGTGTGATACTTCTGGTGTGGTGTGCGGCTTTGAGTGTGTGACTTTTGATTTCTACTATCTGTTTTCTCACTTTTTACAGAACTACCTTCGAGTTGCGTTTCAGGAGGTTAACAGTGGCTGTACAGGAAAGACCTTATTAGTAAAACCTTATATCACCACAGAAGACGTGTGTCAACTCTGTGCTGAAAAATTTAAAGTGGACAACCCCGAAGATTATAGCCTGTTTCTTTTTATTGACGATACCTGGCAGCAGCTCACAGAAGATACCTACCCTCAGAAGATTAAGGCAGAGCTGCATAGCCGTCCACAACCCCAGGTTTTTCACTTTGTCTACAAGCGCATTAACAGTGATCCCTATGGTGCCATTTTCCAGAACAATGATGACAACTCCACTTTATAGAACAGATGCTTGTTATTTGTGTTCCTTGATGGAAACATCTCGAGTGGCTGCCTTTTTTAGGAGGCAAACAGTCCTTAGACTATATGCCTAGTAAGAACATGAGCAGCAGCTTTTAGCACTGCCTGTAGAAAATATACATACAGTACTTACGGCCAATTGTGCGTTATATGCTACCACGGTATCTTAAGTGAGCAGCTGGTGCCGCTGAGTTTCTAGGAACACAGATTCTTCTAAACTATGTAACGCTATTGCCCTCTGCAGGCCCATTCCTGTAAGCATGCTGAGATTAAGTTTCTCATACTTATCCTTCAGCCAAATGTTGTTTTGATATAAACATATATGCTAGACATACCTTTTGGGTGGACTGGCTGGTACACTCTCAATTTCATCAGCATCAGTGTGACAAGACTGTCCGATGCAGGGCATCAGTTAACTTCCAATTACGTGGATGGTTGCATCCTTTTCTCTCAAACTATTTTTTTTTTTTTTTTTTTACAGAAAGGCTCCATGTTTTTATGTATTTCATAGAAATTTTTATAGCAGTTGCAGGTAAACTGTAAGGGTGGGTTTTTAAAATATTTTTTTAACTATAAAGTATTCTATAATTATGCATGTGACTTTTAACATTTAATATACAAAAATAAATCTCTTGCTGGTTTTAGAGTATTGCATTAAATGTCTATGGTTTTTCTCTTGTTACTGGAGGGTTTTATGCAGCTTTTGTTTTGAGATTTTTGTGTTTCTGTAAGCAGTTTGTTGACACTGGTCACTTAGATGCCTTTTATATGAACTGGATGTGCTATTATCGAGACTATTGTTTATATGCAGCAGTTTTAGACAGATACAAGAGTATGGAAGGGGGACATGAAATAAATGAATGTAGAGAAGAGGTAGAGAATGTAGAGAAACTAATTTAGGAATCAAATGTGTTAGTCTGCTGGTTCAGGCTCCTTGCAAAAAAAAAAAAAAAAAAGTGAAGGAGATTGATAAGGAACAATTGTATGTTTAAAGTACTGTAGATATGCTGATGGATAACTCTCCCAGATACTAGTTGTGTTAGCAAAGCATTAAAAGCACCAATAAAATGAATGAGAACACTAACCATTTTACATATGTTTGATGTTGCTAGTATCAATCTGTTTTCGACTGAAACAAAGATTGTTGTAGGTTTTAATGAATTTGAGATTTTTCTTTAGATGAGAGAAACTGTAAAGACACCTGAAAGTCAAAGCCTTAAACACAGAAAGATACAATGAAATCAAATTTGTATGTTCTTTAAAACCTGTTCAAAATACTGAATACTGTGGCTGAAATTCTGGCCCCCCCACTGAAGTCAATGATAATTTTACCATTGTCTTTAATGGGGTTAGGATTGCTCCCTAAATTCTTGTAGGAGTATAATTGAAGACAGGTGGTTACAAGAATATAGACTTTGGACATTTGTATGGCTGTGTATGCATAAGATCTGTACCTTTGTCATGTTGGTTTGCCACATATTAGAAACCCTTGGTACATGTTTGTGTTTTTATTTCATTTTGTAAATGATAAACAGTGAGTTTTGCACATAATACATTGTAATACTGTGTTATAACCAAAGGTGTTGTGTGATTATTTTGAAGACAGTCAGTCCATGTGTTGAACTTTGATACAAATCTCAGCATGTAACCCAGTCTACGTGGTTTGCTGAAGGAGAAGGCTCAGGAAGTATTTGTTAGTCTATATATAGTTGTGAGGAGGAGCTGAATGATTTAATTAAAGGAAAGCAGTCTTTGATTTTTATTAAAATTAGGAAGAATTAAAACAAATATGCTGAATGAGTTGGATGGTACAAGAAGACAGCTGCAATAGGAAAGCGCTAAAGCTAGATGCCCGTCCCATTGTCTTCTTCCATAAACTGGAAGCAGATCTTATATATACAATTTCAGTGAACATTTTGTGAGGCTTTACCCCAAACTGGAAGCAGATCTTATATATACAATTTCAGTGAGCATTTTGTGAATGCACTGATTTTTTTAGGACCATGCATATTGAAGGTAACACCTGAAGTTCTTGGTACTACAAAATATAACCAGCCCACCGTTCTCCATGCTAGAATCATAGAAATGTAGGGCTGGAAGGGACTTTGAAAGGTCATCTAGTCCATCCTCCTGGCTGAGGCTGTGTGACTTGCTTTAAAAAAAAAAAAAAAAAAGAGTGAAAGAGGCTGCTAACTTTATTGCTCAACATTTCTTGCTAAATCAGGAGTGACACTGGCTCCGCAGGAAGTGCTACCCTTTTTATTTAGCTGACAGCTATCTGGAAGGGAGGAAAAATTGTTGAGTAACTCTAGAACTTCAAATGTGAAATGCAGGAAGACAAAACAGGAGCTCGGGAGGGGATGACACATGCACAAGCCACCCCGCAATGGTTCTTCTGTACACTTGCGCAATTGCTCCCTTTGAATATTAGAACACAATGTTTAACTAATTTTCTTCACTGGGCAAACTTTTCTCACTTCTCATAATGCCAGGAAACAGATGACAGTAAAGCTTTGGAAAGGATATACAATAGTAAAAATAAATTAATCACTTCTTGTGGGAGGAACAAGAGAGCATGATATGAAATAGAGACACCAGGGAAAAGATTTGAAACCAAGTATTATTTGGAAGTTATATAACTTTTTTTCAGTGCACAATCCCTATTTTTCTTTGAGCTGAAGTGACCTAGGAGTGAATAAAGCCATGGAAAACAGCTTTATATTCATGTCAACAATGTAATGCAATTGCAAAAAAAGGCTAATATTCTGGGGTGTATTAACAGGTGTGTCATATGTGAGATAACTGTCCTGTTTTACTTCAAGGGTGATGAGACATCAGTTGGAGTACCCTGTAAATTTCTGGGCACCACACTTCAGGAAAGATGAGAAGAAATTGCAGAGTAGCCAGAGAACAAAAAATTTGATAGAAGGTTCAGAAAATCTGACCCATGGGGAAAGGTTTTTTTAAAAGTAAAAAGCTGCTGGGGCATGCTTAGGCCAGAGGAAAAAAGAGCTGGGGGGGAAAGGGGGAGCTAACAGTCTTCAAATACCTTAGGAGCTGTGATCAGTTGTTCTCTACCACCAAAAACAATTGGCTTAAGCTGCAGCAAGAGGCTGTGTCTAGACTGGCGGGGGGGGGGGGGAAAGGGGGAGCTAACAGTCTTCAAATACCTTAGGAGCTGTGATCAGTTGTTCTCTACCACCAAAAACAATTGGCTTAAGTTGCAGCAAGAGGCTGTGTCTAGACTGGCAAGTTTCTCCACAAAAGCAACTGCTTTTGCGGAAAAACTTGCCAGCTGTCTACACTGGTAGCTTGAATTTCCGCAAGAATACTCACGATCTTATGTAAGAAATCAGTGCTTCTTGCGGAAATACTATGCTGCTCCCGTTCGTGCAAAAGTCCTTTTGTGCAAAAGCGTTTGTGCAAAAGGGCCAGTGTAGACAGCTCAGATTTGTTTTGTGCAAAAAAGCCCTGATCGCGAAAATGGCGATTGGGGCTTTTTTGCGCAAAAGTGCGTCTAGATTGGCACGGACGCTTTTCTGCAAACAGTGCTTTTGCGGAAAAGCATCCTGCCAATCTAGACCCGATTTTTCAAAGCGTTTCCGTTAAAAGCCTTTGCGGAAAATCATGCCAGTCTCGACGTAGCCAGAGCGTGTGACGTTAGACATTAGGAAACCCTTTCTACCTCTAAGGGTAGTTAAACTGTGGAATGGGCTTCCACAGCAGTTTAGCAAGGGGTCAGCACGTCTTCAACGGTGGCACCCCGACGTGTGTTGCAACCCTCTTTTACGGGGGCAGCAGGGCGGGCTTAGGGCCCGTGACGGACGGCAAAGGCCCGAGCCCCACTACGCGGAGTTGGAGTCTTTGGGCTTTAGTTTTGCCCAAGTCCCAGAGGCTGGTGCCCTCCAGCCTGGCTCCCGGGCGGGGTCATGTCATCGAGCATCCCTGCTCTGGGTTCACTGGGCCCTGCATCCAGCCTGCAGTGGTGCCTCTTTCCCGCCCTCGCTGCAGGGGGCGGGGCTGATGGGACTCTCAGATGGGGGGCGGGGTTTCCACTCCCCAGAGCTGCCTTGAAGCCGGGAAGAACCCAGCAGCAGGCAAAGCCCCGCCCCCGGTCACGCTTGCGGCGGCTTCTTGGCCTTTTATGCGGGGGGG